TCTATGATTTTCTTGCAACACATCTGGATGGCATTACAACAGCAAAATACACCGAAGAGTTCATGAAGAAGACGACAGACAAAGGTGGTTGCTGTATGCTTTCAACTGTTGAGTGGGGACATTCACGTCTGGAGTATGAGGAGAACCTAGCCATGTTTGAAGATGAAGATCACATGAACTACGTGGGTGAATTTTACTTCAAGGTAAATGAAACTTGCTTGCATGGTGATCATAACATCTTCATGGTTGCGCCCAATGATCGAGATGCTCACAACCCTATTCTTGTTCACTTGAATCCTTCTGGTATGTCATGGAATGAACGACATCAGTACAGACCTAGCCAGATGAAGATGAAGACTCATGAAAGAAGGAAAGAGAGACAAAAGGCGAACAAGAGGAAAGCATATGAAGAACAAGCATCAAACTATCAGGGCAACACTGGTTGGGGTGGATCCTCATCTTCTTCGTCCAGAACATGGAGAACAGGCTATTGGCGATGAGTGAGTGTATTACTGCTTTAGGCTTTAGTTGAAGATAACACAGCATGAGAGGCCTTGTACAGTTTTCTGTGCATCAAGCTTGTTTTTCACACGATGACATATACTCTTTCAGATGGAGATAATGTCACAAGTGACAGAATTTCAATTTAATGTATATAGATACTCTTGTAAATAGAGATACTATAAAATTTGTCTCCATGAACTTTCCGCTGAGCAGAACACCTCCGAATGGAGCGAATCAAATATACCAACTCCGAATTTTGTCCATTGTTCGCTTGAATGAGCAACTATGGAGATCCGCGATTTCCGTTTATTTTGTGATTCGGTCAACTGTTTTTCCTTCTGACCCAAAAATTTCTGAATCTTGCGAATCCGAACATGTCAATTCGAACCTTCACCGGTAGAGCGAAGCACTTTGCTTGGAGCGACCGTGCACGACGCACAATTGGTCACTACTGGAAAAATAGTTAGCGAATCCGCTGCTCTCTTTTCGACATGTCCTTAGGACATTCGCTACTTGCAAGTTCTTTTTGATTCCACTGCGTAACTCCAGCTCGTTTTTGCCGATTTGCCATAGTGGTGGCAGTTGCGCAAAGCTCGCGGCTCCAGCTCGCTCAAGCGGCATTCTTTCATCAGAAGCCGACTCGCCACCCAGTCGATGTCACGTGAAACGCACGTCGATGTCACCAACAGTGCCATGAGTGCCACGCCTGCCACGCAAAACGAAGGTGGATGTGAGATTGTGCCACGCCTGCTGTGTGAAACACACGTCAATGTCACCAAGTGCCACGCCTGCCACGCAAAAGTGCCGCGGCGTCACAGGCGACTAAAACCAGCCCAAGCGCGCCACCCAGTGCCATAAGTGCCACGCCTGCCACGCAAAACGAAGGTGGATGTGAGATTGCGCCACGCCTGCCACGCAAAAGTGCCGCGGCGTCCCGGGCGACTAAAACCAGCCCAAGCGCGCCACCCAGCACCATAAGCGCCACGCCTGCCATGCAAAACGAAGGTGGATGTGAGATTGCGCCACGCCTGCCACGCAAAGTGCCGCGGCGTCCCGGGCGACTAAAACCAGCCCAAGCGCGCCACCCAGTGCCATAAGTGCCACGCCTGCCACACAAAACGAAGGTGGATGTGAGATTGTGTCACGCCTGCCACGTGAAACGCACGTCGATGTCACCAACAGTGCCATGAGTGCCACGCCTGCCAAGCAAAACGAAGGTGGATGTGAGATTGCGCCACGCCTGCCACGCAAAAGTGCCGCGGCGCCCCAGGCGACTAAAACCAGCCCAAGCGCGCCACCCAGTGCCATAAGCGCCACGCCTGCCATGCAAAACGAAGGTGGATGTGAGATTGCGCCACGCCTGCCACGTGAAACGCACGTCGATGTCACCAAGTGCCACGCCTGCCACGCAAAGTGCCGCGGCGTCCCGGGCGACTAAAACCAGCCCAAGCGCGCCACCCAGTGCCATAAGTGCCACGCCTGCCACGCAAAACGAAAGTGGATGCGAGACTGCGCCACGCCTGCCACGTGAAACACACGTCGATGTCACCAAGTGCCACGCCTGCCACGCAAAGTGCCGCGGCGTCCCGGGCGACTAAAGCGCGCCACCCAGTGCCATAAGTGCCACGCCTGCCACGCAAAACGAAGGTGGATGTGAGATTGTGCCACGCCTGCCACGCAAAGATGGTTGTTGACAGATGGTGTGTGACACAGTTGTGTGTGAAGTTACTGTCTGTGAAAAATGGTATGTGACAAGATGGTATTTGTTGTTTGTGAAGTTATTGTATGTGAAAGAGGGTATGTGACAAGATGGTATTTGACAGATAGTATGTGACAAAGTTGTGTGTGAAGTTATTGTATGTGAAAGATGGTATGTGACAAAGTTGTGTGTTAAGTTTGTGTGTGTGAAGTTATTGTATGTGAAAGATGGTAAGTGACAAAGTTGTGTGTGTTAAGTTTGCGTGTGTGTGAAGTTATTGTATGTGAAAGATGGTATGTGACAAAGTTGGGTGTGTGACAGGCGGGAGGAGGAGGCGGGAGGAGGCGACCCGGGATCTATAGAATCAAAACAAGAACCCCACACAAAGTTGTGGGGAACAATCAATGAAAACAGGTGAAAACTTAATGAAAAACACACAAGTTGAAGAAAAACATAGAAAAATTGAAGAAAACCATGGAACAATCATAGAAAACATAGAACAATTGAAGAAAACCGTGGAAAATTGAAGAAAACCATGGAAAATCTATGAAAATCATGGACAAATCAGTGAAAACCATGGACAACTCGACAAAAACCATGGAACAAATTCTGAAACCAGTGGAAAATTGGTGAACAGTGCGAATGAGAGATTTTAGCTACAAAATGCAGCGATTGAATGCGATTGAGAGATTTTAGCTGCAAAAAACAAGGAAGGGAACCTGGACTACAAAAAGAAGATGCCAACTTAATTCCGCCCCCGACATTTTGTATGTTTTCATAACCTATGTGTATCTATTTTTTCCATTTCCCTACCCCCTTCAACTTCTAGCTCATCTCGTGACCACTTTCATCATCCCTGGTATTCAAAATATCACGCGCCTGGGGGATCCAAACTCCAAATGTAACAAACACCATGCAAATCAGAGAGCTTAGCTGCAAAACGCTGCAAATACCAATGAAAACCACCAAACCCCAGAAACGGGAAAAAAAACAAAAAAAAAAACACACGGGAAAAATCACCCAAAAAATGCAACTCTAAAGGTAAAGGCCCAATGCACAGCAAAGTCTAGTCAAGAACCATATCTGAAATAGCATGGTGGATGCAGCCGCCAGGGCCGTAGCCAAGGATGCGTTTTGAGCTAAGCTCGAACCTTTGATCACAGTGGCTGTGTCATGGCAATGCGATATCATTGCCACGCTAAGTGAACGATGCGCGTGCCAATTTTTATGCCAGTCAGACCAACTTCCCAGTAATCCAACCCCTTCACACCTTTTTCCTGAGCAGTGTAGCAGTGAATTCTTGATGCAGTGACAACAGGACCGTCCAACCGAATGATTTTGACAGAGTCTGGGATGCGAAACTGTCGGGATTCTTTCACCCCTGTCATTGTTCATGTTTTCTCAGCTGGACCAGTGGGATGCGAGGGCTATAGGTTGCAGAATTACTCCGGTGAGTATTTCCAGGCTTTGTCTAAGTACACTCAGGATGTCCGTCTAAAGTTGTTGATCAGCAAGGGCCAAAGGTCCCGTGGGTCTTCTTTTTTTTGGTAGGTTGTTATCCAGATCCACCTGAGTGGGCTGACGGCAAGAAAATTCAACATTTTTCTAAATCAATTCAAGACCCGATTTCGTCCACCCACAAAGTTGCTTACCTTTGTGTTCACTCCTTTGCTCAATTAGCACTCTTTTGGTGGGTCTCCCTCTGGTAGAGGTCCTGCTGTGTCCTGTCGGTCGGTTGACATCCCTTTCTCTATTTTGAGATCGTTTCCTGCTTTCGCTGATTAGTTTTGCTTTCATTGCCTTGTTGAGTTTCGCGCGCGTCACTCAGAGTACCAGGCTGCAAAAAAAAATATGGCGGTCCCAAAATGGAAGCGCATAGGCTATGTTCAGCCTATGTTGGGCCAAGAACGGCGTGTTCCTTTACTTGATACCGCATTTTTTGGGCTCATGTTGGGGCTATGTCGGGCCTTATATTGAGTGTTCATCTGGGTACCCATGCCGGTACCCAGATGAACACGCCTTTTTGGGGCATATCTTGGGGCCATGTTGGGCCTATGTGGGGCCTATGTTGGGCCTATGTTGGGCTCTATTGAATGATGCAACAGCAACATGATGCAACTTTGGGCAGCTTAAACATAAACAGCGCAGAACAGCTCAGAAGAAGAACCCAAGAAGATCCCCAAAAATGCTCGGTACATACAGCTTAAACCATGCAGATCAGCTCAGAAGAACACCAGAAGAACACCAACAAAAATGTGTGGCGCATTTTTTGGAGACATCAGAAGAACCCCAAGAATGTTCGGTACATGTTTGGGGCGCGTCACACATGTAGCGAACATTTTTGTGGTCATATTCGTACTTCAACATCTGAATCCCCAAGAATGCTCAGTACATTTTTGGGTTTCTTCACTGGCTCTTAGATTGCGCATAGACCCTAAAATGACCAGTCCATTTTAGCAATCTTATTTGTGTTTTCCCAAGTTAAGGGGAGTTATGATGGCTATCGCCAACCTTTGCGTTTATCTAAAATGCAGGAAAATGTACTGTACATTTTTGGGGCCTGGGGGTGTGAAGGAGTCGTGATTTTGATATTGTTTTTTCTCGCATCTTCTTTCACTTCGCTGCATCAATTTGGGTTGCCTTAGTCCATGGTCATGCGCATATTTACAATGCCCTGCAAAGAAATATATACATCTATTCATGAAAATGAAAGAAAATCACCACCTCACGGAACCTATCTTTAGCCCGCCCCTTCTCGAGTTAGACAGTCTGGTTGCTCTCCAACTCAAGAGCTGAGGAACTATTCGGAGGCATTCAAGGTTGGCAGTCGGGTCACGTTCGCTGCCTTCACTAGCCTATCGCTCGCTGACAGCACCGCCGAAAGTTTCGGGGATCGCATACTCTTCCAGGCGTCAAGAATCTTTTCTTCCAAATTTTGTGGTTGTTCAATTGTAAACTTCCATCAAGAAATTCAGACCATCTTCAGACCCCTCAGTCTTTGTGTTGGGGCATGCTCGGGCATGCTTGGGTGCAACCCGCAACATGACATGCCTTTCTGATCCAGCCTTGGCAGTTCACTCGAGTTCGGGGCGTCCGCATCGCAGAGCTCAGCGCAATTCCATCAGAACTCGAGATCTTAGTGGAGCCACCGGCTGTGTTCAAGGCCGGCGCTTCCAGGATGATAGATCCGCGTAGAGATCTAGAGCCACTATTATCAAAGGATGCAGGGGAAAGAAAATGGAAAGAGACAGAAAGAAGAGCAATGCAAGACGTGTGATATGAATTCCCGGGGCTGCCAAACTCTGTCTACTATGGCTATAAGGTGACCAGCTGTGCTAAATTCCATGGAGTATTGCGCCAAGCTCAGTTTTTGGCACCCACGCACGTTTTGTCAGTTTTGCGAAGGTGAAGACGTGGTGTATGCTTTCTTTGTCAGGTCGTGTTTTGAAGCTTCAGGAAAGCAGTTTTAGCCCAGGGTGGGGCGATTGCTTCATGTCCCATAATTGCACTTTCGCGGATGCAGTTTTCCTCGGTCAGTCTAAGGAGCGTAGTTCTGGAGGCGGTGGAATCTCCCCTGAGGTATTTGTAGTTATTTAAAAAACGTACATACATACATTCATTCATTCATTCAATCAATCATTCATTCATTCATTCATCATTCATACATTACTAACTTAATACTTTAATACGTTTATACATTAATTCATTAATACACACATACATTAATACATTACTTACATACATACATTGAATACATTAATTACATACATACATACATGCATCCATACATACATACATACACACATACATACATACATACATGACATGACATGCCATGCCATGACATGACGTGACGTGACATGACATGACATACTTACATGACATACATACATGACATACATGACATACACGACATGACATGACATACATGACATACATGACCTACATGACATACATGACATCATATGACATACAGGACATACATGACATACATACATGGCATACATGGCATACATGACATACATGACATGCATGACATACATGACATACATGTCATACATGACATACTTGTCATACATGACATACTTGTCATACATGACATACATGTCATACATGTCTTACATGTCATACACACATACATACATGCATACATACATACGTACGTAGGTATGTACGTACATACATGCATACATACATCTGGGTAAATTATAACGACCTCACTGCGACCTCACTGGAATCATGGTTAATAAGGGGAATCATCCCCAAATGGCCAATGGCCTTAATTCGGGTTGGTGACATATTACAATTTACCCAGATACATCATACATACATAGATACATACATACATACATACATATATACATACGTACATACATACAAACATACATACATACATACATCATACATAGATACGTACTACGTACATAGATACATACATACATACGTACATACATACCCACATTCATTATCATACATACATACATACATACAGACATACATACATACATCATACGTACATACGTACATACATACGCACATACGTACATACATACATGTCATGACATGTCATAGATTACATACGTACATGACATACTGACATACATACATACATACATACATTCATACATACATACATACATGAATACATGGCATACATGACATACATGACATACGTGACGTACATGACTACATTCATACGTACGTGCATACCTACATACGTACACACGTACAGACATACATAGATACATACATACATAGATACATACGTACACACATACATACATACATACATACATACATACATACATACATACATACATACATACATACATACATTACATACATACATACATACATCATACATAAATACGTACGACGTACTTCGTACATAGATACATACGTACATACATACATTACGTACATACATACCTACATACATAATCATACATAATCATACATACATACATACATACATACATACATACGTACATACATACATGCATACATACATGCATGCATGCATGCGTACGTACGTACGTACGTACATACGTACATACGTACATACGTACATACGTACATACGTACATGCGTACATGCGTACATACGTACATGCGTACATACGTACATACGTACATACGTACATACCTACATACCTACATACCTACATACATAGATACATACATACATACATACACACATACACACATACACACATACACACACATACATACATACATTACATTACGTTACATTGCAATACATTACAATACATTAATCATTACATCACATTAATCATTACATTACATTACATTACCATACATACATACATACATACATACACATGCATGCATGCATGCATACATACATACGTACATACGTACATACGTACATACGTACATACGTACATACGCACATACGTACATACATACATACATACGTACATACGTACATACGTACATAGTTACATTCATACATACATACATACATACATACATACACATGCATGCATGCATACATACATACATACGTACATACGTACATACGTACATACGTACATACGTACATACGTACATACGTACATACGTACATACATACATACATACATAGAGAGAGGGAGAGAGACCATGCGGATTTTTGGCGCCGGTGTTTCGTGTAGATGTACAGTTTCACGTTTTCAGCGGTCTTAGTTCAAAGAGATGTTCAAAGCTTGGGATGCCGGAGTTGGTGCGAAGGAAGGTTGGGCAAGCTAACCTTTCCATGCGGTTCCACGCGCAGCAAGGGTACGAAAAAGACACCGACTGTGCCCCTGTTGGAGTTCTATTGCTGGCATTTAGTGTGCATGTCACAAGCTTTCGCAAGTCAGCCAGAGCTCGAAGCTGGATTAAAACAGACAGGATGACATGCTGTAATTAAGCCCCAAGAAGCCCCTTGCAGACATGTTATATACTAGACACTTCTCACATCTTCTCTATATTCCTCCATGCTTCCAGGTAGCGCTACTCCTTCAACGGTCACTTCAACCCCAAAGAGTCAAGGTCAGCTGGTGATGATTATTGTGTGGGCTGAAGTTGGTGGCATTGCAACACAGTCCTATATGACATCCATCCATCAAAGAGCGAAAGCAAAGCAAGCAATCGTCAGTTGCCACTTGGACAGTGGTCCAGTGCACTGATACCCGTTGAAGTTGGGATGCCAGTACTACTTCTTGCGTGAGATCGGGTTTCATCTCGTTTGGGCAAGTCCAAATGATGATCGAGGGCTCTCTTGTGATGGGTTCCATGAGGTCGTTCATTTTCGCGAGCGCAAACTCTTGGATCTCTATTGAAGAACACTGCAGGGCGGCCTAGGTTGGATACTTTTCCCTATGCTGTTTGCCCAGCGGAGGGGACGCAATAAAGATTATGGGGTATAATATATACCGTATATATTTTCCAAGGGAAGCTTACAAGTCAAAAACTTCCGAGTTGCGGACAAATGTCCAGGGGCAATTGTCATCATGTCAACAACATAGAGGGATGAAAACAGTCTTGGGTACGAAACCCTGCGTTTTTTTCGGGCCCCTGGGGTCGCCGACGTAGGGTGTCAGAATCCGCGGGTGCGGGCTTCGATCTGGGAAAGTTGTCAACAAAAAGTGCACAGGACTGGCGAGAGCTCGGTTTCCATGTCAAAATGTTAAAAATTTGGCATGCTCGGAGCACTTTTGGAAGATCAGGTCGGAAAAATGCGCACGAGACTGCAGCGAGAGATCGAATTCAGAAAAAATCGTTTTAAATTGAGGGCCGGTGGGCAGCCTAAAAAAGTCCGCACAGTTGACATCTGTTGACGCCTGACGCTATGCGAATGTTGGTCGAATGTTGACGCTATTGGGGTTTGCAACCGGCTGTGGCAAAACGCAATGGCACGGCTGCGCACAGGAAATCACTTGCGATGCTCCTGCTTTGCTGGATTGCAGCTGGGATTAGCGAAGTGCATTGCAACAGCTGAGGGTCGTAGTTTTTGACCATAGGGCTACTCTTGTGCTATACGGGATTGCAGCTGGGGTTACTAAAGGCATTGTAAGAGCTGTGTGAAGAGAAGAATGGGGCTGCAGAGGCCACAGCAGAGGTAGCTCAGAGAAGAAGTAGCTGGGAGAAGAGGTGCCCCGGTGAAGAGGTAGCTTAATTAGCGAAGAGGTTCAGGGAAGAAGCACATAGTTCAACAAAGAAAGCTCACTCATCCCACTCATCCATCCATCCACCCATCCATCCAGTCATTCATTGCTCATTCGTTCATTCATCAATTCATTGGTTTATTGATTCACCGCATCGTCGATCCATCAAGTCATTGATTCATCGATTCATTGGTGCATTGGTGCGTTGGTTCATTCAAACAGTTGTGCATGGATTCTTTTCTGTCATTTCACTGGCATCATCTGGCATCTCAATATAGCCATTTGATCCCCCATGTGTAGCTCCCTATAAAGTGGATATCGTTTGCGTCTATAAAGCGGGATTCCGGTCGCCACTTGATACACCAACCATGGGGGATAAAGCCGTGTTTTGCGCAAAAAAACATGCCCTTGGACCTAGCAAGTTGACTTTATACAACGTTGGTTTTTCAGTTTATACCCGGCTGGTTTCCCACAAGGACATGACTTAGTATATGCGGTAATGCACTTTATAGACCGCTGGTTCCCTTCAAAGAATGGCCACAACATGTCACACCATCAATCAACTTTATAGAAACATGTCTTCCCAATGATTTCGGGCCAATATTTTTTGTTGAGCTTTTTACATGGCAAAGCGCTTTATAGAGGGAAGATTGCCCTTTAAGAAGGGAACTTTTGCTGCAGCCAGGGCATTTTATAGAAAGAAAGTTGCTGCAGAGCATTTTACTTGTAGAACAGTTTATCAACACATATCATCATATATGTAGAGCGCAGTCTTGGACTTCATTGCTCATGGGAGAAGAAGAAGAATTATATATCATGTATATCATCATTTAATACCGTAAAAACCATCATATGAATCATATACCAGATATAATTAATTATAGCGCAATTGGCCACATGTTTCAATCTATCTAGAATATATATATATCTCTCTCTCACATCAAATTTCCCCTTTTACACAAACCGACCAGTTTACGA